GCACATTTGAATGATTTGCTAATTTTTCAAGAATCTCAATTTGTACCTTTAATCTAGGTGAAGTCATTAACATACACTTGTCTCTAGACAAACAAGATGTCAAATGGAGTCTTCAAAACAAAGGGTTTTCTGTTTTAGGGATTTAAAATTTTCTACCCATTTTGAAATGTATCCCGGACACTCTAAAGAGAATATCCTGTTGTAATAAAGTTAACTCTTTTGAGAGCTTCTGATGGTGCCTGTCCATGAAAAGATTTAAGGTGCTTAAGTTACACTAATCACAGGCATGCGCCTACATACTTTTCCAAATAGGGAGGAACGGAAGCTCATTCTTAATGGTTTTCCTGAATGGGAGCCTAAATCTGCAAAAACTTCCTTCCTTTTAAATATATATGCACACATACTTCTGCTGTCTTCTTCATAAATGACAGATTGAGTTGTCCCACCTTGCCCCCCTGTGGTTAGCAAAGCAGGAGAGCAGAAAATTATACCAGTGACTAAGTCCTCCCTTGACTGTGTTTAGCATAAATCGAGTGTTTATATACAGCACTTCTCATTCATGCTCTGACAGACAGTTATGCAGCTCTCCTCAGCCCAGCCTCTGAAGTGTAATGAATAATGCAGCTACCATAGTTGTGAGAAGCAAAGCTGCCAGCCTTTTACTAAGATGGGGTATTTTTATTTAATGTACAAGTAGTTTCTAGATCTGGGAGAGAAAAAGAATCTGAAATGCTCCCCACTGAGCTGAGACAAGATCAATGCTGGTGACATTCACACATATCACCATGACAACTTCTAGGGATACAAATAGAATCAGAATAATCCAGAGCTGCAATTCCTTCAAGGTTTTATAAGCAAGAAAGTCAACTTTTAGTTCCTATTCCATGAAGCCTGAAGTACAGCTTTATTTAACAGGATGAGGAAATCTACATAGTGGCTTTGCCATGCTTAGGCTTCAAAGCCTATTGGTAACTATTTGAATAGCTCACCGAAAGAATAGAGCAACAGTCCAGTGCTCAGCACAGTCACATTAGCAGCCCATCCGATTAACAAGAAAGCTGGAATCAGCATCATGATAGCCTAAAAAAAATGCAAAATGAGTGTCCCTCTATTACAGCTAAAACCATATTAATCATAAAAGCCTAATCCTAGGTTTCCTGGCGCTGCGCTGCTGCTGAGAGGGGCTCTATTTAAATTAAGACAACAGTTCCCATGATTCCGTGTTTCTCTTTCTAATTTGGTCTGTTTTTACTCATGGGAGACTTTTTCCTATTAGGGGTTGGGGAAGTGGCGATTGTGTCACTGAGGATGCAGGGGTAGAGAATGCCTAGGCAAGCAGAGATTAGCAGAACTGGGAAAGAAGCAATAAAAGCACCATATTCCCCTTTTCTTGGCAGTGCTGAGGGATGCTATGAGAAGCTGCATCTGCCCCTAGTCAGCTGGAGGGTCAGTCACCATGGTTCAGGAGAAGAAGATCCTTAGATTTCATCTGCCCCAAGGTTAAAGAGAAACAGGAAAAGATTCTCCTCTTCCTGCTGTGCAGTTTATCTCTGCTTCCATATTGTGCTCTCACCATTCCTATTGGAAATCATTGTATCCGAGCCAGGATCCAGCACAGAGGTGGGAAAACATTTTGGCCTGAGGACCACATCTCAATATGGAAATTGTGAGCATTCATGGCCCACAATATTAAATTGGGGGATGGGATGTGGGAGGGGATGCAACTGGGGGTTTAGGCTCTGGGGTGCACCAGAAATGAGGAGTTCAGGGTGCGGGAGGGGGCTCTGGACTCTGGCAGGAGATTGGAATGCAGGGGCGAGTGAAGGGTCCGGCTGGAGATGTGGGATTTAGGGTGGGGCTAGGAATGAGGGGCTTGGGATGCAAGAGGATGTTCCAGGCTGGACCTGAGGGGTCCAGATGGTGGGGGGGGGGTCACAACTGAAACAAGAGGTTGGAATTTGGGGAGGTAGTGGGGTCTCTGGTTGGAAATGCAGGCTCCTGTGCCCCAAACCCCAGGGATGAGGGATTTGGGGCACAGGAGGGTGCTCTAGGCTGTGACTGAGGGGTTCAGAGAGCAAAAGAGGGATCAGGACTGGGATATGGATGGGGGAAGGAGATGAGGGGTTCAGGCTGGGTTGGGGGTGAGGGGCTTGGAGTGAAGGACTATGCTATGGACTGGGATCAAAAGCTTCGGAGGGTGGGAAGGATGATCAGGGCTGGGGCAGAGTTTGGGGACACAAGAAGGGGTTGGGGTGCAGGCTCTGGGCGGCATTTACCTCAAGCAGCTCCCAGAAGCAGCTCCTATGTGGAAGTGTGGCTAGTTGGCTAGTCTGCCCCATTCACAGGTCCCATTGGCCACAGTTCCTGGCCAATGAGAGCTGCAGAGCCAGCACGTGCTGCCCCCAGTTACCCCAGCTTCCAGAGGCCATGCTGAACCATGGCACACACAAAGTCCTCACCCCACTCTCTGGCTGGAGTGCCAGAGTACGGCAAGCCTCCAACCCCCATGCCTCAGCAGGAGCTCAGGGCTGGAGTAAAAAACCTGACTAGCCAGACACAGCCCACAGGCCATAGCTTGCCTGTCTCTGATCCAGCACATGATTCACAAAGGAGAGCTTTAATTTTTCCCCAGCCCTCTCACATTGTTACAATTTAAGGATAGCTGAAATTGCTGTTTTCACTCTGCTAAAGAGGAACCACACCCACAATGCTAATCCAGAGTCACGTCTGAGTTATTAAAGTTACACATGACAAAAGGAAACACTCCCATCAGAGCTAGCCAACTAGTATACTGAGCAAACAGGATGCCTCCAGAGCCAGTCGGTACTTTATGTAGGGAAGGCAGGAATGGTTTACCCTACTATTTGGCCCACGCTAACCAAATAGTGTGCATCGATTATTAAGAGATAGTTGCACTATACACAGACCAATGGTTGAGGATGAAGGGGCATAAAGATTAATGGGATACGTGAAAAGCAGATCTGGTGCACTGAGCTGAAGTTAGTCGCAGCAGGCATGGCAGGAAATTAATGGAAGGAGGAGGAAGTCAGCAGAGAGAACAAAGTAGTGCATAGACACAGTATGGCCACTGAAAGACATCTAAAATTAACTTCTTGCACTGCTATCTTTGATACAGAAGAAGAAGCATTCATATTTTCTTGCCAAAGAACATGACGGAGCTGATGCCATCTGCAGAAATAGGATTTAACTTAGCTAGTGTGAAGTGGAGCTTGTTAATCCTTCTGCACTGACAGGATTAACCCCGTGGTGGGTAAAGAACAGGTTAGGAACTATTTAGAAAAGCTAAACGTACATAAATTCATGGGACCGGACTTAGTGCATCCGAGGGTACTGAGGGAGTTGGCAAATGTCATTGTGGAGCCTTTGGCTATTATCTTTAAAAGTCGTGGAGATCGGGAGAAATCCCGGATGACTGGAAAAAGGCAAATGTAGTGCCCATCTTCAAAAAAGGGAAGAAGGATGATCCAGGGAACTATAGGCCGGTCAGTCTTACCTCGGTTCCTGGAAAAATCATGGAAGGGATCCTTAAGGAATCCATATTGAGGCACTTGGATGAGAGGAAAGTGATTAGGAACAGTCAGCATGGATTCACAAAGGGCAAGTCATGCCTGACCAATCTGATTAGCTTCTATGATGAGGTAACTGGCTCGGTGGACATGGGGAAGTCAGTGGATGTTATATACCTTGACTTTAGCAAGGCTTTTGATACGGTCTCCCACAATATTCTTGCCAGCAAGTTAAGGGATTGTGGACCGGATAAATGCATGGTAAGATGGATAGAAAGATGGCTAGAACGCCGGGCCCAGTGGGTAGTGATCAATGGCTCGATGTCAGGATGGCGGTCGGTTTCTAGCGGAGTGCCCCAAGGTTCGATGTTATATACCTTGACTTTAGCAAGGCTTTTGATACGGTCTCCCACAATATTCTTGCCAGCAAGTTAAGGGATTGTGGACCGGATAAATGCATGGTAAGATGGATAGAAAGATGGCTAGAACGCCGGGCCCAGTGGGTAGTGATCAATGGCTCGATGTCAGGATGGCGGTCGGTTTCTAGCGGAGTGCCCCAAGGTTCGGTTCTAGGACCGGTTTTGTTCAATATCTTTATTAATGATCTGGATGAGGGGGCCCACCCGCTCCCTAAGCTGAAGAGCCCAAGTCTCAGCACCCCGGCAGCAGAGTTTAGCCCCCTAGCAACAACCCCAGCTCTGACTCGCATCTGTCAGCCTGGGCTCAGAGGTTTTCTCCAAAATTCATCTAACCCTGGGCTGTGTCTACATTGGCGCCATCTTGCGCATAAGCAGCTGCTTTTGCGCCAAAACTTGCTGCCTGTCTACACTGGCTGCAAGTTCTTGCACAAGAACACTGACATTCTCATGCATGAAATCAGGGCATCTTGCGCAAGAACTATGATGCTCCTGCTCAGGAATAAGTCCTCTTGTGCAACTGTTCTTGTGCAAGAGGCCAGTGTAGACAGGCAACATGAATTTCTTGCGCAAGAAAGCCCTATGGTTAAAATGGCCATCAGAGTTTTCTTGTGCAAGAGAGCATCTACACTGGCATGAATGCTCTTGCACAAAAGCACATCTCTTGCGCAAACGCACATGCCAGTATCAGAGGGGTAGCTGTGTTAGTCTGAATCTGCAAAAGCGACGAGGAGTCCTGTGGCACCTTATAGACTAACTGAAGTGTAGGAGCATAAGCTTTCGTGGGCAAAGACCCACTTCGTCAGATGCATGTAGTGGAAATTTCCAGAGGCAGGAATAAATATGCAGGCCAGGATCAGGCTGGAGATGACCAGGTGGATCCAATCAAGGAGGATGAGGCCCACTTCTAGCAGCTGATCTGGAGGTGTGAATTCCTCGTGTGGAACCAACAGAACACCACTGGCCATCACCTACAGTCCCCAGCTAAAACCTCTCCAACGCATCATTAGTGATCTTCAGCCCATCCTGGACAATGATCCCTCGCTCTCACAGGCCTTGGGAGGTAGGCCGGTCCTTGCCCACAGACAACCCGCCAACCTGAAGCATATTCTCACCAGCAACTACACACCGCACCATAATAACTCGAACTCAGGAACCAATCCTTGCAACAAACCTCGGTGCCAACTCTGCCCACATATATACACCAGCAACACCATCACAGGACCTAACCAGATCAGCCATACTGTCACTGGTACATTCTCCTGCACATCCACCAACGTAATATATGCCATCATGTGCCAACAATGCCCCACTGCTATATACATCGGCCAAACAGGACAGTCCCTACGTAAAAGAATCAATGGACACAAATCTGATATTAGGAATGGCAACATACAAAAACCTGTAGGGGAACACTTCAATCTTCCTGGACACACAATTGCAGATCTAAAAGTAGCCATCCTGCAGCAAAAAAACTTCAGGACCAGACTTCAAAGAGAAACTGCTGAGCTACAGTTCATCTTTAAGTTTGACACAATCAACTCTGGATTAAACAAAGACTGTGAAGATTGAGCTTGCTAACTACAAAAGCAGCTTCTGCTCTCTTGGAATTCACACCTCCAGATCAGCTGCTAGAAGTGGGCCTCATCCTCCTTGATTGGATCCACCTGGTCATCTCCAGCCTGATCCTGGCCTGCATATTTATTCCTGCCTCTGGAAATTTCCACTACATGCATCTGACGAAGTGGGTCTTTGCCCACGAAAGCTTATGCTCCTACACTTCAGTTAGTCTATAAGGTGCCACAGGACTCCTCGTCGCTGTTCTCAGTAGTGACAGATGGCAGAACAAGGAGCAATGGTCTCAAGTTGTGGTGGGAGAGGTCCAGGTTGGATATTAGGAAAAACTATTTCACTAGGAGGGTGGTGAAGCACTGGAATGGGTTACCTAGGGAAGTAGTGGAGTCTCCATCCCTAGAGGTGTTTAAGTCTCAGCTTGACAAAGCCCTGGCCGGGTTGATTTAGTTGGGATTGGTCCTGCCTAGAGCAGAGGGTGGACTTGATGACCTTCTGAGGTCTCTTCCAGTTCTATGATTCTATGATTCTGTATTGTGTTGGCCTGGAAATTACATGCAGTAAATTGATGGCAGTTTAACAGTCCAAGTATAAAGTATGTCACTGTGCAACCATGCAAGAAAGTAATGCAAAACAGACAGAAGAGAGACAAGGAAAAACCAGGACTCCAGAAACACTGAAAAGCTCTTTGGTCTTTTTTTACACATTAGAATGTACACAATGCAGCACAAGCCCTCATCCAAATGCTTCACAAACATTAGGTAACATATGCTCCCATCACACACAGGTAATTGAAGCTATTATTATCCCCCTTCTACAGATGGGGAAAAAGGTAAAGAGATATATGGAACGCTATCAACTTAAAAAAAAACCCACTCCTGAATATCACTATAATTGGAGGAGATTACAGAAAAAGATTCTCTGTCTTTCCCCACATTGTTTACCATACATTTGACAGCATTTGCTGTGTAATAAGTTTCCCTGTTATTTTTCCATTTGTGTTTATTTTAATAGAGAGGAAAGCGCCTTTAAAAAAAAACCACAATGTGATTGTAAAACCACCAGTATTGACAAGGGGATGATGCAGGAGCAGGTATAGAACCTGAAACTAATTATTTTTATCTATATTGTGCTAGGTGCTATACAAACATACTTACCTATTAAAAATCAGACTAGGTTCCAGAATTAATAGCATCCCTAAGGTGATTTACCCAATGCCAGAAAGGCGGTCACAGATGGGATTACAACTCAGGGGTGCTTGCTTTCTTGTCCTGTGTTTGCACCAGTAAACTACACCAGAAATCACTGGAACATACTTCTCCTCACATTACATAGGCTACATCTACCCTACAGCAGAAAGTCCACTTAAGCTATGCAACTCAAGCTACATAGCTGGAAATCGACGTACCCGACATCAAGTTACTGCGGGGAGGGGACCAACAGGAAAAAGTCTCTCATCAGCTTCCCTTACTCTTCTTGTCTGGGGTAGAGTAACAGGGTTGAGGGGAAGAATGATCTGTGGTCACTCACCAGTGGATCGATCTCAGAGCACACACCCGGACTGTAGTGTAGATGTAGCCATATACTTGAGCCTGTGTGTGCTACATCTACACTACAGTCTGGATTAGAAGCTATGTAGCACTTATACTAGAAAGAATTTAAATATATTAGAGGAAAAGAACCTTATTATGGGAGATGTTTTAATTTTGTATCTTCTTAAAAAAATGTCATTACAGTGTTAATAGACAAAATATGCACGTTCAATTAAAAGGCATAGCAAACCACTTAAGATGTAATGATAAAGCCAAAACAAATCTCAGTCCATCTCTGATTTTAATCCTCAGGACAGTTACATCCATATGAGTCGAGCAAAAATGAAATATATACAAATAATATATGTTTAAAAGAGAAAAATACCCTTTTTACAGCTTTGATTTCACATCCTGGTTGGATTCGGCGAGAGTAGCCTCCCTGGATCACAGCCATTGTCATCCCAATAAAGAAAAACATCTTGCCCTGCTGCATACTAGAAGGAGTTGTAGAGAAAATGGAAAAACACAGATTATACAGTCTTCTACATGGATCTAGATTACTGTTTCCTAAATGAAAGAGATGGTTACATTAGGTGTCCACACTGCAATAAAAGGGTCTTAACATTCAGGCAGAATTAGTCACCACAACAATCAAATAAAATAATTGGAGATAGATTGAATTGCTCAGAGATATAGAAGACCTCTTCACTTTAGCCTGTGGCTATCTAACACATTCCTAGGGCAGCCCCAGAGTAGTGATTCCAGGCATTACTGACAAAAAAAGAGCTTACTGGCTTTCTGGTGACCTATGGGTGAGGAGTTGTTGGTTTGCAGTGGACAAGGTGCTTCACATCCAAGAAACCAATATCCCAACTGGCAGTCTCATCAGAGAGGGCAAGGAAACTGAACAATTGATCTGGTTACCCCTTGAGGTGTGGGTAAAGGTACATTGGTGGAGAAGCTTATACTGTCATTGCCCAGGCTGTTCCTCTTCCATAGAAAATACAGCAGCTTTAATAAACCACGTACACATTTTAAATTAAAAAGATTTAAGTTTGGGCAAAACATAATTCCTGAGCTATTTCTTCACTATTGGCTATCAAAGTATTTGGATTGTATCAACTCTTACCTACATAACTAGCTTGTCCTCCTGGCCAGTTCATTCAAGGATGTCATAACACAGTCATGATCATGGTTATAAGAGTGACATATCCAAACACCAGATACTGAATGAATTGCGCAGAAGAAGTAGGATTATCACAACGAAAAGGCTTCCAAAGACATACAAAAGATGTCTATTATGGTGAGGAAAAGACAGGAATAGAAAGCATATCCAGAAACAAAATCAAACAGGGATAAGGACAGGAGTAAATGATTCAAGATCTGGTCCCAAGTTGGGACTCTTTCTACAAGCCAGCAATAAAACTGCTTTTGAGAAGAGAATAATAATATGAAAGAATACAACAGGGTTTGATTAAAGGAATCTAGACAATCAGAAGTTGCATTACATAAGGGTTTGCACGCTATATATAATAATAAAGAACCATGCTGAGAAAAAAGAATCATAGCTAGACCCTATATCCAGTCTGTTTTACTGAAGCCTCAAGATACATGCTGACACAGAAAAACTCTTAGAATAGCTTTACATGAATCAATACAACCAAGCCAATTAAGCACAAATTCACAGTGTTTTCCATTTGTTTTGTTTCCATCTCTGCCCATCAATTTTTCTTTAAATTTTTAATTATAGTATTAGAGCACCTGCTTTCCTGATAGAAGTGTCTGTATTTCAAATATTCTTCCTGGCTTATAAAGAGAACCTTGAAGCATTAAAAATCAATTTATAACAGAATGCAATTTTGTAGCATGAAAATGCTTATCAATCATTAAAAGGTTCCTTTGAACATTTAGGAAAAGCCTCGATAGTCCATTAGGAAAACAATGAACAAAAGAAATGTTAGAGAGTACGTAACACATCTTTTCTAAGCACACAGTACCGCTGATGGGTGAGAAAACTCAATGTGTATTCAAGACCAGAAAACAGGAAGAGATAAAGGAAATAAACTAGGCCCAGGACTTTGAGATTCTGAAGATCTAAATCAAAAAAAAGGGAAAAGGAGACACTACAGCGTAAGTACCATTTTAGAAAAAAAGACAACAAAAGCAACATTCAGTACCACTTACATCTACAGGGGCCAAGAGTTATTTCTGATGCTCATTTTACATTTCCACATGCCACACACCACAAATTAGACTCTGGCCCCATTTCTGTGATTACAGTGTAATGGCAAGTCTACACTATTACACTACATTGGCAGCAAGTCTGGGGAAGATGTGCTATGCCCACGGGAGAGCACTCCCCCACTGGCATCATTACTCCACCTCTGGATTTTGGAAGTGTCTCTCCCACTGACATAGCCCAGTATGGACACCACTTTAAAATGATGTAATCTATATTGGTCAGGAGGGTCTTGTTTTTACACCCAGGAGCAACATATATGTGGTAGTGTAGACCAACTTTAAGGGATTAAAGTGAAAAATAAGAGCAAGAGCCCAAAACATCCAAAGAAGTGGACACTCATACTATTAAGTGTCTCTTCCTACGGAAGAGAAGCCAGTGGGCAGGCCTGCCGAAGGGCGTGGGCAAAAGGGGCAACAACCTTGAGGCTCAGCAATTCTAAAGGAATTCTAAAGGGGCCCCAGGCCCTTTAAGTTGCTGCCAGAGCAATTTAAAAATTGCTGCTGGGCAGCTCTAAGGATTAGAGGGGGGCACTGCACACACTGGGCAGCACTATGAGCTGGCTGCCCCAGGCCCCATCCCTTCTGCCTGAAGCCTCACCCCTTCTGAGAGAGCAGGCTTGGTTTCCCTGCCTTGCTCAGGGGCCCAGTATATCCCCTGCCAATGGGTAAAAACTTACCTTCCACTACCCCCCACAGTTTAGTCTTGAATGATTTCTGCATTTAATACCGCTATGGTATAGGATGAATATGGATGCCAACGTTGTTGGTCTGTCTCTTGGGATATGTCTACACTACAGCACTAATTCGAACTAACTTAGTTAATTAGTTAATTCGAACTAAGCTAATTCGAATTAGCGCATCTAGACTTAAAAACTAGTTCAAATTAGCGTTTTGCTAATTCGAACTAGCATGTCCACACTGAGTGGACCCTGAACCGAGGTTAAGGATGGCCGGAAGCAGTGCCGGCAGGGCATCAGATTAGGACTTAGAGTGTGGAGCTACTGTCTCAGGCTAGCCGAGGGCTGTGCTTAAAGGGACCCAACCCCCACCCCGGACAGACAGTTCTCAGGGGTTCCCCGCTTGCAAAGCAGTCCTGGCTTGGAGTGCCCTGAGTGCCCACACTCGGCACATCACAGCACTCGGCCATCAGCCCGGCTGCACTTGCCGCAGGCTGCCATCT